AAGTAATTCTAGTTGATGGAGACAGATAAGCTCAATGAGCTTATCTGATGAGAAGCATCCAGTAGGACAATCATTAAAATGTATGATCAAATAGCACTGACAGCACTTAAATCTTTAAAATGCAGTTTAAGTATCCTGTTCTGAAAAAGAGAAACTACTTGTTCTCTTCCCCTGTGAGTCCCACATTTGTTAGCCTATCAAAATGGAATGATGGCTAACTTGAAGGGTCTGCAATTTAAGAGTTTCAACAGCTCAGAAGAGATCTGTTACCTAAGTTTGGACCTGTCAAGGATATCAACTACTTGGCAACAGATGAGAAAGTAGTCCTTGCTCTCTCCAGTCTTCTCACTTTGGATTTCTTCTGAGTTGCTTGCAATATCCAAGAATCAGGAGTCCAAGTACCAGAGATGGCAAGGACTCACCATTAAACTGATACTCTCTCTTCACTGATTTGGAGGCAGGATATGACCAGTTGCTGGGCAAGATCATTGCAATACTGCTGCTCATCACCCTTTACTGTCATACGGTCAAACTGCATTGCTTCTGGGTCACCTACAATGAAGTGTTGAAATCGTTGGCAAGAGATCAGTGAGACTAGCTACACTGGAAAGAAAAAAAATAATTAAAAAAAAACATGTCAAGAACTAAGAAAAGCTCCTCTTGAGGAAAAAAAAAAACAATAACATTGTTCTCAAACTGAGAGAAACTGGAAATTACTGCTGTAGTACCTATCACTGTCTAGAAGATCTGGAGAAGCAAGCAGAGCATGTGTACATTTCCTGTCTCGTAAAGGGGGATCTCTGACATGGAAAGTTTTCTGTAGTAGTAATTAATCAGCAGTGATGATCAGTGCAGCCAAGAAGTAGGAAGAGAGGGACAGAAGCTCTCTTTTCACATTCACTCTGCAGCTGCCTCAGGTCATAATGCTTGCCTGAGTGCACAGGACAGTGGAAATAGACGGTAACAATTATATTTGCAACCCTTCAACATCCTAGTATTGAATCAAAACCCTAAAGTGTCTAGTGGAATATGAATGCACAGCTCCACCCTACACAGACATTATTTTAGGGCTGCAGAACATGCGAATAAATTGAAGGTTTTGACCAAGTTCTGTAAACTTCAGTCTTGATGAAAAAAAAATCAAAACATATCAGCTTGAAATAAATTTTCATTTTGGAATTAGAGGAATTTTATAATTTCAAGCAGATTACACAAAAACTTTGCTCAAACCAGCATATTATTCAACAGAATAATACCTTTGTCACAATGGCTACAGTTTCATAGATTCTCATTTTTCAAGCCATCTCAATACAAGAAACATTCCAGATTTTCCACAACCCTCAAGCCTGTTTCTCCATCTCATTCTGCTCAGTGCCGTGGCCAACAATAGCTCCAAAACTGCCAAGAGTATACTTTGTTATTATTCGACAGAAAAAGCCTAAATTCAGTAGACAGCTACATCAGAGATGCACAGGTTTGTCCTAAATACAGGAAAAATTCTGGTGTTGAGCAGAATCATTCAAAGAGTAGCATGAACAGCAGCGCCCAGTTAAAAGACAGATAGTTTTGGGGCTGTCTTTGTTGAGCTTTTGCAGCAGCTAAGGATCTCAGTCTTCATCTGCAACTCCTTGACACAGCTGTAGTAAAAGTTATCCTCACTGCAAGATTATTTCCTGACTTTTCAGGGGAAAAAAAAAAAAATCCAAAACTTTGATGGAAACTAAGATTAACAATATCGGTTAACTGTAAATAGCTCATACATTGCAATGAAGTTTTTAAGTAAGTTATTATTGTGTCTGAGAACCTGTTCAAAGTTAGTTGTATTCTCTTTAGTGAAGCAAAAATGGTGTTTCACAGAAGGAAAAACAACCTAGGAGGTAATCTTAGAAAAATCTTAAGTTAGGGAACTACCACTGCTGAGAAGACATGCCAACAACTCCACCAAGAAATGGTTAACTCCGCGCCTCACTCTGCAGCCCACTACCTGCGCCTTCAGTTTTACCGGTAGCACTTTCATTTTTTGTTTTTCTATTTGCCTTTTTCTATTTCTTTTTCTTCTACAAAAAGTGGAAAAATAAGAGGTGTCTGGCTCCAACTCTCTTATTCCCATACTCTGTCCTTCATACCACTTCACTGCTTTCAGCTTGTGGAGATTCCTGACCTCCATTTGCCCTCAAACAGGGCTCCCCTTCCTCTCCCCTTCTTTAAACTGCTTTTTCTGACAGCATCTGACATTTTCGGAGAACTCCATATGAGCTCCAGCCACCTGCCATGACCTCATGCCTTTCTGCAAAGGCTTTTTTCATGTGGCTTGGAATCTAAAATAGAAATTGAATTACTAGGTTCTTCAAGACCTGTAGGCAGAGATACAAGTTAAACACCTAGAACAGTAGAAGTGGCTGGATAAAAAGGATTCAGGGGTACTTTTAATACAGTAGTAAGCAAAAAGGTCTGTCCACTGTGTGTAAACATTCGAGAAAAGCATGTAATCAAGGCAACACTCAGTTACTTGACTGCTTTAAGACAACAGCCAATTCACTTCATCTGGACATTGGACATGCCCATGTTAGAACTGTGAGATCACCGTAAACCAGATGAAGTCAGCACAGCTAGTTACACTCCCCTCAAAGTACTACACACCTATATTTATTAGTGTCTTTGTCTGAATCAATTTATCTGGCCTTATACAACTTTTGAGCTATAGTCCAAGTGCAATAAGACAATATTTATAAATAACTCTCAATAGAAATACATACTCCTGTATTAAAGCATTTGGACTTTGATTTGGTCAGTTTTTAATTCAGCAAATGATAAAGTTTCGTAGGTAGCCTAAGTACTCATAGCTGCAGCAGCAATACTGGGAACAAGTACTTAAAGTTTTTTAGAAAGGTACATGTAGCAAGTTAAACCTTTTTTGTTAGACTATATGAGTAGTCTTTGTCAAGATTTACTCTGAGGAAGCATGCTCAAGGTCAGCTTATGTGCTGTAGCAGGTATCTGGCTGGTTCTATCTGTCCCACAACGCTTTTTAAAGACAGGTGTAGTTCTCTTGCACCCCTCTCAGAAGAATGAAAAATAGCTTACATGTTTTGAGCAACAGAAGTTAGCAACAAGAAAGTAATTTTCCTTAAGACATACAAATGAGGCAATTTAGATAGATTCCAACAAATGCAGGACTCTTGGAAACCAAGCCACTTGAATAAGATCCTGCTCAAATACAAACTCTCTGTGCTTTCCTATATATCTGACACAAAGAACACTAAATATCTACAATAAAGACACTTTCTCCTTGAACCTTTTTATTTTGTCTGCTAACAATGAAGAGGTGAAGTCTTACATTAATCAGTCTAAACAATCTAGAATATTTCCTTAAGTCTTGGAAACCAACTTCCCTGACTTCATGAAGCTATACTTCTTCTATAAGTTAATATAATGATACCCTGTTAAGCACAGGTTTTAAGTTTCATAAAGTCCAGCCAAACCGCAGCTTAGTCAGGAAGGTTTCCAGAGAGAATTTTTCATGCTGTAGCTTAAGAAAAGTGACTTCTGAAAAATTGAAAAAAATATTTTTATAATAGCAATCAGAACCTTTTTAACTATACAAAATTGTAAACTTCCTTACCGCCATCTGTTTTCAGTAGTAATAGTTTTAGTTTTGTAAGAAACATCAGAGTTAGTGTCAACATAGCTTTGTTAGCTCTGCAACTGACAGAAGTCACACAGAACGCACTTACTACAGAATAAACTGCAGAAAAATTATTTAGCTACAGGCAGAAAGATGCATTCTATACACTGCTTCTACTTCAAACTAGTCACACGCTACATTCCCTTGGGTAAACCCAGTATTCATTTCCAGCCCAGAAATACATCTGTACACTCCAACAAAGTGGAGAAAGCTCAGCTCCGGAGAGGACACACATGCTCTGGTGTAAGTAAACCCTCATGACTTATCTGCTTATCAAGTCCAGTTGAGGTTGAGTTGTTTGGTTGTGTTTTTTTTAATATAGATGGGGGAAAAAATAATATCAAAAAATCAAAAGAATCTGGAACTCTTATTATCTGGAGATTCCAGTGCTGAACACAGAGTCTTGCCAATTTCATTCCTCATATCAATACTGTATCACTTACAGGACTAACTTTCCTCTAACTGTATGACTTGAGGGTACTGGTTTTATCGAACTGACCTGGTTTTCAGCTTTGGCAAGGCTCACTGTTGAGTTAGATATGAGAACGCTTACTTAATGGTGTTGCTATATATACACATGATCATGAATTACAGATTCGCACCAAACCTCTGTGCAGTCAAGAAACTTGATCTTCCCTAGCATGAACAGATCCCCCTTGTCCATCATGCATACAGTCATTTCAGAAAAGCACAGCAACAGCAGCTTAAGAGAAGTATCTACACCACAGTTGAGGCAGAAAGGGGTAAAAAAGCACCAGGACCAGTCTGTATCAAAGCCATCTATTGTTTCAGAGAAAATAAAAAAAATCAGGTTGAAGAAAGCACACTTCTCTTACACATCAGACCAGTTAGTTACTACTACTCCTTTTGTGCATAGAACATACCCACACCATTCAAAGCATTCATATGCAATACTACATCTACCCTTCAGAAAAAGGAAGGCCAAGGAATATTCTATTTTGTCATAGACATCACCTTTACTGTTTTTCCAAGCATGACAACTTAAGTAAAAAAAAAAAAAAGTCAGAGCACAAAACACTTTGAAATTTCAGCTACCACCATTTGTGTTCCTTTGTGATAGCAGTTGATACACTTTATCTGAAAATCCTCTGCCCAAAGCTTAGGTGGGCTTCAAAACACTTTACATGAGAAAGAGAAGTCAGGAGTAAGTTCAGTCATGTCTCGAATACCCAAAGTTACAATTACATCTGGCAAGTTTCATATCTTCCATTTAATCACTTCAAATCAGAAGCAGTTCTAGTTAAAGCCAATTCATTTTGTTCACTCAAGCCCTGCAAATACAAGGGGGAAAAATTATGCTCATTAATAGTTTATGCTGTCCTGGGACACAAACGAATTAATGCGGTTTAAGAGTTTCCCATACATCTGGCTTACTGGCTACCAGACAGATGAGGGTTAAAGTTGCTTTGACTTCGCAGGGTAATTCTGAGAGGCCAAAGTAACTGCAGAGTCAAGATATACGCATGCGCAAAATGCTTTAGCTGGGAGTCAAAACACCTCAATGTTAAACAGCAGCCTAAGGAAGCATTCTCTTCCCACTTATAGGATACTCTAAATACTGCTGCTTGCCAGAAAAGGCTTAAAAAAATGCCTTAGCTATGAATGTACCAAAAAAAGCTGGTTTTAGGTAGGGAGAATAGAATGAGCAATTCAACAGTACACATGGAAAGCTTGCATCTTTCACTGACTTATTCACTTCACAACCACTGACAAGACTGATGTACGTATTTCTGCACCTGCAATTGTAAAAGCAGATAAAATATTTAATATGTAATTTACAATGTATTTTACCAGCTTGGCATACAGGATGAACAAAATATATCAAAGTAGTTGACAGTTATAGGCTTGTGAAGGCCCTGCAAAAATATTACTTCAGAGATCTGCTAATTTAAAAAAAAAAAAATCAATTTGCATTTTAGAAGTGATACAATTCAATCTACCACAAAATACAAAGAGCTGCAAAAACGTATACCATTCCAACAACAATGTATATAAGTTATTAAATAATGATCTGATTTAAAAGAATATAAATGAAGCCTTTAAGTAGGTCTTTTCTACATGCATATTATTCCTTATTAAAGAAAAATATGTAAAAAGGCCATTGGTAATTGCTTTGTTAACCACTGTAGAAAATGCCAATTCTCTGGTCACAGACGCCACTAGTTTAGCACTTAAGGTCTCTGCAGTGTTACATATGATTATTTTTAAATACTGTTAATTCTATTACTCCATTGGTAAAGAATGCGTGACTTGGAATATGGCAGTCTTCATATTGAGAGGGCAGTGATGCACAGTTTTATAATTATCCAGAAGAACAGCACCCTCCACTGCTCTGTACTTGTGGCTCATCATCAATGATCTGTACACCTCGCCTTGCTGCTCCTGACTGACTGGAACCATTGCCTCTTGCTCTTTCATCCACTTGAGCAGTTTCTATCATTCCTGTGAAAATAAATAAATAAATGAGATGACATTCCACTGCATTTTTACACAAGACTTTGAGATCTTAATCTGAGTTACAAGCACAGGGACAAAGTTTAGCAAGACTGGTTTGTCCATTTATAAGGCAGAAGGAAGCACTCCAGTATCACATGGCATAGCTTCAAATACTTAAATCTTCTGCCTAAAGCACCAAACATCTATCCTGTCAACTACAGGATAGCTTAGATGCTCAAGTGTCCTGCAGTTTGTGACTTCAAAAAGCTAAATTTACCCACTCATATCAAGAATATTCTGTTAAAAAAGAAAAATAAGTAGAAATCCCACACATCACACATATACCATCCCACCAAAAAAAACCCCACAAACCCAATCTGGTCTTCAGACATGCAGGTTTTGCTTAGTTTCTTGTATCATAGGAACACAATAAATAGGATAACTTCCCTGTATTACAACATGTTTATCTTACGTTCTGTGATATTTACCATTTACTTAGATTGCTGTGTAAAATTTGCATTATAACAACTTCGAGTTTATGATTTCTGACATCATTTGAGAAGATTTTTGAAAGTGGCTGAAACAAAGGGTTTGAAGCAGGCAACACTGAGACCAGTCACATGAAGTTCAGCTTGAGTTTACTACTTACATGTGCTGAGTGAAACAGCAGTCAGTGCTCCAACAAATGACAAAAAGACATTTTTGGAGTACAGCATGAATTGGCAATATTGTAAGCTATAAGCTTTCTGAAGCCTTTAGCATTTTGTGAAGAAGCTTTTTACCAAAAAACTAGATAATACCTACTTTTACAAAGGTCAAGAAACAGTTCTTCTATTCCTTTGTTCTGTTTAGCTGAAGTATGATAATGTTTTGCTCCAACAGATTCAGCATACCTGTAGGAAAAGACACAGAACTTCACTGTACTAAAGGGCTCAATCTTTCAAAGCCACCTCACATGAAGCACAAAGATCATTACAAGAGGTTTTATTCCAGGTTCAGAGTTATGATTTAAGGTTAAAAAGGGAATTATGTGGTTAAACATGTCATGACTGATGAAAAATACTAGATAAAATAAAGAAAAATTCATGTATAGAAATGTATTTAAGACTGCAAGTATTGACTTTATTCATGTACAACTCTCAAGTTACGCTCTGGTCCATAAGGACATTTCAGGAGTCAGATATTAACAGAACACAACACAGCAGCCAGCTAGGCACTGCTGGTTCATGCCTGACTGTTGTTAACAGCATCACAAGTTTATTACTCCAGCATAACTCTGCAATGATTGTTTCTATTAATAACTGGTGTGACTCACGTTTCTGCTTCTTGCACTGAAACATGTCTCTCTTTTTCCAAGTCTATTTTGTTACCTGTTGGAAACAAGTTAATTTTTCAAGTCTTTGCTCTCCAAAATTACCCAAAAGAAAGCAGTCACATCATCACTGCACCCCATAACTTTCTAACAAGCTGTCCCAGTAAAGACAACAGGTCTCAATTTGGAGCACGATATGACTTAAGAATCCCCTTTCACTTACACATCTACAGGCAACGAAGATGAAGTTCTACTTCTCTAGAAAGATCAAGATAACTAAACGCCTCCCATATAAGCCATCGATTCATCCTTCTGTTTTGTAATTTACTTGCAGCTTATCTGTGCTGCAGAGGCGGTTTTTGTAGAATATCCATACAACTATCCTCCTGAAAGTGTTTTAATCGCTAGAATGGATTTTAAATCTAAACCCAGTACTTCTATTGAAATGTTGTTTACACCAAAGTATCCAAGCTTTAAGACTCATTCCACCCTCCAAGCACTCAGCTATGAAAACATACAAGAACCCAGTCTGTCACTGAGAACATTAAAAAGATGACATTTGAGTATTTGCAAGAAGGGTAATACACATTTGATGTTTATGCTTCTGTTTACTGAATTACTATCTGCAAGCATCTGTACTGTGCACTTCTGACATGGTATATCATTAAACAGCTTGTTCGTCAAAATTAACTCTTATTTTCCTCAACACGATTTACTGAAACTTCCAGCTCCTACTGAATTTTAAATATCAAATTAACAGAAGTTTTACCCATTCACATGTACAAGCTGTCAAAACAGTGTTTGGAAGACACGATTAATCAAAAGAAACATTTCTGATTCAGGCATTAGAATCACATGTTAAAGACTTACCTACTATACATAAACAGATTTCATTTCCCAACATTTTTCTTAATTCCTTAACCCAGTTTTTTACCTGCAAAAAGAACAGAGGTAAGTTTATTTTCACTTGATATCCTACCAGCTTAGACATTGTGTAACTGACCCACTTCCTTCATTAACTGTTTCAGCTTCAAACAAACATGTTTAGAGCAACATACTCTTTAGATAACTAGGCATGGTTCTTGTTCAACAGATTTTAGTTCACAGTTGAAATTAAGAACAAATGACTTAGATAAAATGGTTCAATTACTCCAGAAATATAACTCACCGCATTTGTGTTAGCCCCATTCAAAAGAACAAGTTCACTGCATTGGCCACTTTAGGCAAGACGGGAGATCTTTTACCAACAGGCACTTACTGACAGATCACAAATGGCACTTTTAAAGGCAGAGGTACCTGAACTGAGTTGTTCAGGTTAGATTACAACAGATGTTTGTCTCCTAAGAGAGCAGATGGGACAAGAGTGTCGAGTCAGCTGATGGCAAAGTATCTGTTATCAATTCTGTTGTCATGTTTTGAAGTTGTATGACCACTGCATTGACTTAAGGACTGCTGTTTGAAGGGAATTAAAAGACACAATCACTTTGACAACCTAAAAGTAGTTAGGATATACAACAGAGGTAGTTCCACAAATTAACTTTCCCTCTTTTTTTTCCTGAGAAATTAATTTTTTTGATAATCAAAAAATTTTACCACATAGGGCTCAGCATGAAGAGGCACAAGTTGAAGTAGTGCTCACGAGTCATCACAATTCTGTAGATGTGGGGGCGAGAGTTTAACTGCTAGCACAAGTGCTTTACTTGCCCTACACCAGACTACTGCAATTACTTCAGCTGTTGTGGCACTATAACCTTATACTACTTCTATCACTGCTAACCCAAGCTTTGCTCGTACAACCACAATTTCTTAGTCCTCTGCACAGAAGTCCTACTGGTTTTCTCACAAGCTCATCAGAGACAAACTCACTTAGCAAAGAGTGTCACCAGTTCTTCTCAGACAGAACATCCTATAGAGTGACAGCACTGATCTGACACAGGGTTAGAAAAAACTCACCTGCTCAGACTGATCAACTATTACTGCTACAAAATAATAGCCATCAAATTTCAGGTTTTGATGAAGATTTGAAGTCCGAATACCTATTAACACTGAGAAAGCAATGCTTTCACGATCATGTATCACAATTTCCAAGTTCTTGGATCTGTAAAAGGTCACATCACTTAAAATCTTCTAGTAATTTAGTTTATACAGCGGAGATCAGTACTGCATACCATTCACAGCAGTACTGGTTTATGTTTATAGCCTGTCATGGTAGCTCACACAGCTAATTCTCTAGTGTTCTTTGAACAATCCTGCTAGAACTTTTTTGAAGGTTGACTTTCTAAGTCTACTCGAGTACTACTAAGATGTATACTTTGATTTTATGATGTAAATTTGCAGATGTAATAAATATTACTACTGCTGCAAACAGAAGACTCCTATTTGCACACTCACATCACAGATTGTCTTTCAATCAGTTTACAACTAGCATAGAGGTAAAAATCTGGCCAGTACCTTTTGAAAAGAGTCTTCATCTGTTATATCATATACTAGAATAGCGCCATTAGAATCCCTGTAGTAGATCGGCCCCAATGCATGAAATCTTTCTTGACCAGCTGTATCCTGCATTTAAAATACACTTGTTAGCATTTAAGACAAACGATATTTCGACAAACTCAAAATACTTTGCAATTTGACTTTACTAAGAAGTACTTAACATCTGAGTTCTAGTAAGTCTAAGTAATTTTTCAGGGAAATATTTATTTAGCTAGGGGAAAAAAGCAAAGCAAACATACCCATATTGCAAGATTTACTCTTTTCCCACCAATATTTAGCTTCTTTGTAAGAAAAGACGCCTGGAAAGCAAAACAGATTAGAGTTAAGTTTTACACACAAATGTCTTATTTGACTTCAGATTCATTTACTAATAAAAACATCTGAATCAATAAAAGACAGATTTTCTGGATCAAAATACACTAAGCCAGAAGGCTGAGTCAATGCTAAGCCAGTTAGTCATTTCACTACCATTTGCCAGGAGTCTATTCTAAATAAATTTGGCTTAAGCCAATCATTTACTACATCTTTTTACTGTTGTTTTGCATTATTTGAGAAAGATAAGAGTTGTCTGGAAAGAGCGTAAATTCACAACACTGCTAAGACTGAACTGAACTGGAAGCAATTCAGAAGAATTTGAACTTCATTCCCATGAAGTCTGGGTAGAAACCAGACTAACAAGATTCTTAATTCGCAGGAATTAGCAAAGTAGTTCACTATTAGGGAGCTACTAGAACAAAATCAAATAGCCTGAGTTTACTGCTAGAAATCTCACAACACTAGTATTCCTCAAGTGTCCTTGTCTGGATCTTTTCCCCTTTTTCCCTGAAGTGAGCCCACAACTCTCACTATCTGTTTTTGGTGGCTTTTTGTGGGCAGCTTGTTTTGCTTGTTGGTTTTTTTAAAATTTCTGAAAGCTCAGTGATATGCTTTTCAGCTAACACATAAAAGGAAAGCAAGTGGCAGGATAAGAAAAGCCTCAGAATAAGTACACAAGCTACTCTAAGAATTCCACTACATTAACTTACAAAAACCATTTACAGGACCAGAACATATTTCAAGGCCAGTCTAATTTCAGTAGCTATTTTTATGTGTGAGCATTGACCAGGCATTGAGCTAACTAAAAGCCATGTATAGGTGGAAAGTGTCACGAGCCAGATCACCTGCTTGAACCAGCTTGCTGCTTAACTACATAAGCAACCAGTACACACGCAGGCCACCACAGCAGTTCAATTTACAGCACTCTAAACTGCTATGGCAGTGCCTTTCCCAAATGTTGCCTGTAGTGCACAGTCATCCAACACTCAGCTGCTAAAGCACCTCATGCTCTTCAGCCAGTTTCCTAACATCAACTCTAGCATCTGTGGGACCTAAGGTGAGATGATTCAAGAAACTTTTCTTCTTTTTTGAAGTAAATGGTACCTTCTCCCAAAGCTTTCCATGAAGTCTGATAAACAGAAAAGAAAGACCAGAGGAAATAAAAACACTCAGTAACTTTCCAGGAGCAAAGAATCAATCATTATAATCACTATATTCAACATGCATTCCACCCCTTCAGTCTACAGTGAGGGAGCGTAAGTCAACCTCAGAAAAAGTTCCAGACAGCATGTTAAAAGTATTTAATACTCTAGCCAACTTGTAAAAAACAGTTTAGCAGCAAAGTAGCTAATCTTAAGCATCAGGATATCAAATCTTAAACATCAGGAAAACTTTATCAAAAACTCTGCAGAAAGTTTATGGCTTTCAGCTGGCTGTCCCTAAGGTTTATCCGATTGGTGTCTAGTCTTCCTATCATAGTTTGTTCTACCACACCAGAGCTTCAGACCCAAAAGCTTAGATGTGACTTCAGAAGCTTTAATTCACCAACACTTGGGCAATATTAAGAGAAGGTACAGTTAGGCACAATGAATGAAGCTTACCTGACAATATTTTATTGATCTGCTATACTACAGTACTTGTTATTCTATTGTAAATCTCAAAGAAAAAGCTCTTCTGAGCATTGTATGCTTTTGTCATAACAATGACAATCAAATCTGCTCAGCTGACACGTATTTCACCTAAGTGTTCCAGAAACAGATTTCTGGAACAAAGGTTAAAAAAAAAAAACCCTTCACAGAAGCAGGATTTGTATTTTAAAAACACTCTGAGAACTCAGTATCCATAAAGTTATATCATCACCACTTTAGACATTGACCAAATTAACAGCACAGACATCTTTACCATCTGACAGAGCAAATATTAAAGTAAGCTTATCCCCAAAGGTAAGTTTTGCTCAAGTATCAGTAGTTCTTCAGGTCACTACAGCTTTTGATAACAATATTGTCCTTTTAGCACTAAGAGTATTTCCTTTCCTACATACCCAAGTATTAGAAAACCCATGCATTCAAGTAAGTCTTTTTTAGTATCTCCTGCAAAAAAAAAAAAAAAAAAAAAATCAAAGGAGACTGTGGCAAGTGTATTTAGCACTGTATATTGTACTTGGTCTCTGTATTAAAACTCAGTGAATTTGTACTAATTGGGTTTTAGTCCATCTAAAGTCTTAGGCCCCTGACTGCAAAAGGAGAGACAATATCTTGTATCAGAAATCCTGATTTCGACCAAGTTTGCCTCAAAAGGTTGCCCAGTAATGAGACTGGAAGTATGTATTTTAAGTAGTCATGGTTAGTAATGAGTAGGCAGCTTTGTAAAAATGGTGAAAGAAATGGTCAATAATATATTACAGATGAAATGCTTCACTGTTCTTCACATACTTGAAGAATATTATTAGCAGGCTCCATTCTTGAATTAATAGGTTTGGGCAAGTTTGGCATATTTACCATCAGTTAAGCACATTTTACAGCCACAGGGGCAAACCTGGCAAAGACAAATCACCGAATATGTATCTACACCCCAACACCCCTTCAAGTTCCATTTGTCTCACAGAAGAGCAAAGTTACTATTATTCATTCATTCTGAGGCTAGAGAAAAAAAAAAATCAAAAAAATCAACAGGACTATGTAGTTCTTAAAAATCTGGGGGGAACCCAAGATGGAAGAGCCTTAACTACTGTTTTGAGATAGTTTAGGGGAAAAAAGTCAGCTGCCAGGAGAGTCACAGCCTTGGAAACCAGTACAGTCTAGACAGCATTAGGTAATTACACATAGAAGAGGATTCAACATTTTTTCCTCATCTCCCAAGAATTTACCAAATTGAGTATTACAGATTTAAGTCCAAGACGTGACTCAACTTACATTCACTATCTCCTTTCCATATTATTTTCATTACTCTCACAATTCAATTTTGTTAGGACTTGCAAAAGCCTGCAACTACATAGGACCATAGTTAATTCAAAGACAAACAATCTCAAATAGCTCTTTGAACTAAGCTACTAATTTTGGTATTTTGACTCTAGTGTCTTACAACTGGTCTGAAGAATACTTACACACTTAGAGGAAAAGGATAATGTAATTAGAAGAGCTAAAATTCCATTCCCTCTGCATGCTTGTAGAGAGAATCTTTTCTTTCTTTTCAGAGCTTAGTCTCACTTGTCCATCAGGCCCTGTGAGAAGCTGATAAAGGGGCCTGAGAAGAACAAAAGCAAGGCCCAGCTGGAAAAGATTTTCTTGAGAGTCACTGAATAAGAACAGCTGCGTGTCACCTACCCCTAACTGCTTCACCTTCAACAGAGGCAAGCCAGGCACAGGAACACTGCATATAGCACTGAACCTCCTTGCATCGTTTCTCCCTCTGCCCCCTCAGCCAAGACAACTTTTCCAGGTTATGCAAGTCCAGTAAAGCAATCAGGATCTGTACAGAATGATTAGCACCACATCAGTGACTCTCTCAGGTTGGTTATTTTGCAGTCTTCCGCACATTTGAAAGTTTAGTACACAGAAGTCATATTTAATTAACAGAAAGTGTCTACCCATTTTTTTTTAGTTTGACAATAGGCTTATTATTGGAGCAATTCTAGCACAGTTCACTTGATAAAATTATTCTAAGCTACAAATTGGTATCAAATCAAGAGCACTGACCTCAATATTTCAATCAATGGATATCAATTCTAACTGTCCCACCAGGTCTGACAATAGGTTATGGATTGTATTCATTGCTTATAAAAAACCCCCTACCTTTCTTGCATCAGCTTTTTCACATTTTTTTTCTAGATAAATGTGAATCAGTAGCTATCTTAATTTTAATTTGCAGGTCATCAATATCTTAAGCACATGACTTGAAGCTCATCTAACTACAGCAGCACATCCCAGCAGCCTCCTAACCTCAAAGGAAGTTTTGGTTCACCATTTCCCCCTCGGCAGTATTTAAGGAAGAGCTGCATTGAGAAAAGAGAAACAGCTGCCTTTCACTAAGTCTTCAGTTACTAGCACAAAAGAAACTCTGTGATTTGGATATATACAGGTTAACCACACAACACACTAATATTTGTATGTTAGAATTCAGATAGGAAAGCAGAGATATACATTAGAAAGATTCACACTGACAAATTTACATTCCTGTGCTCTCCCCCATCAGGGTACTCACACTACGTGAAGCACCAGCCCACATCCTTAAATAAGGTTTCCAGAAGGCTACTGTCTCACCACCCTTTTTGTTGCCATCACATCGGGATAAAGCACTACACAGTACTTTTTTCTAAGTCAGAGATTACTGTGGATGGAGACCCTCGTGTCTCTAGTGATCTTTTCACATGATTTGCCATCACTGAGACTCCTTTGCTGAATCAGGGGCTAAGAATTTATCTAATTTTCGCTTTATTGGAACAGAAGTAATCTGGTGAAATGCTTTGAACTGATGCCATGAAACAAAACCATCTTATCAGATTAAGCCTTTAATATTTTTTTTTTTAAAAAAAAATTTTTGCATAAATGTCACTTTGCTGCTTAGCCAAGTATCTTAGCTTATTATGTTTTTTAAGGCATGTTTCATTTTACTAGTGGAAGAACTTACTAAAGCTTTCTGCTAGAACTGTAAGATGTAGTAAAACAAGAATAATAAAGATAGTACTTCACAAGTGCACATGACATACAGTAAGATTCAACAGCAACTGACATTGTGTTTTACAGCCAGTAAGATGTGTATGTGGCTAAGGAGGCCCAGAACAGAAAAGCAAATGAGTTGAGAAACACAGTGCAGTCAAAGATCCAGGTAGCAACCAGAAACTCAATCACAGCAGAGAAACAGAATCTCACTATCAAGTGTGAGCATGTGCTTCCACTTCTCTAGAAGCACACACCCCTCTCTTCATTCAGTCAAAACGGAAACATCTCAGTCAAAACCGAAAGCTCTGACGCCACCAGAGACATTT